TTCTTATTTTAATTTATGACTTTGTTACGACCATTTCTTGTATTTGCTTTGCTTGTATTTGCAATATATATATACTGTATATATATATATATATATATATATATATATTGATATTTATCATGATATTCTCTTACCATTAATGGGGAAGGAAATACTAAAAAAATGTAAATCCTGAAGAACATTTACTGTAGTTGTTAAAACTTTTATTATTTTAATTTTATATAACTATTTAAATTAAAATGAATTATTTTGATTCCACTACTAGTTTCTGTAAATCAGAAATATTTGAAAATGAGTAACATTTTTTTAAAAGAAATTTATACTTTTATTCAGCAAGGATGCATTAAATTGATCAAAAGTGACAGTGAAGACATTTACAAGGTTAGAAAAGAGTTCCATTTCAAATAAATGCTGTTCTTTTTTTTTTAAGTGGGAGTATTGTCAAAGCCGTCTTTTGACAACAGATCCTGTTCACACTTGACCTTTAAACAAGTAAAAGGACACTGCGTTTACAGCAAAGCCTGAGTCTAAAGTAACCACGGAGCTTCTCTACTCATCCTTAAATAAACTGTCAAGGATAAAACTTCAAACAGGATTTGTTTTTGGTGTTTAGAGCAAATAGAAAAATCTGAAACTCTGCTCGGTCCTCCAGAGACATTAAGCTGCTGTGTGTGATGCTTCTGTTGTTCAAAACTTTCTCCCATCACAGCCTAATGTGCAAAGACGACGACAAGACACATTCACAGGTTGACTTCGCTGAAAAGTGTAAAGACAGTAAACACGATTTGTTTGAGCGGTCCGACATGTCAAATTCAGTTTGTCCCACCAATGGAAGACGAGGGGCAACATTTTGTAAACAAATGATTCTTCACTAAATAGTAAAAAAGGCCCTTTTTTATTCGGTTTTTCTAGGTCATGGTTTCTTTACTGGACACTGGTTATTTCAACGGTGACAGGAATAATGTATTAGTTATCTATTTTAGTTTTAGTTACAGTTGTAGTAATGTTGTCATTTTATGAGTTTTTTATTATGTCTATATAGGCTTTTTATTAAGTTTTAGTTGTATTTAATTTGAGTTATTTCAGTACTTCAACATACAAAATGGAAATGAAATAATATATATATATATTGAATGTATTTATATATATGTACATGTATATCTATATGTGTGTGGCTGTACATACACATACAGGTACATCTCAATAAATTAGAATGTCGTGGAAAAGTTCATTTATTTCAGTAATTCAACTCAAATTGTGA